AAAAAAAATGCTACACAGGGCAGTTACTTGAGAGGCACAGGGAGTGTTTCATTTGACTTGTGTTTACAATCACAGGATATCAGAACACAAGAGGGAGATGATATCAACCCATTTTACAGAGTGTGATACAGAAGCAGAGAAAGTTATGCTTGGCTCATGGAACAGGCCTGGAACCCAGGAGTGTCTGTCTCTTAGCCCAGGGCCATAGCAGCCATGACAGCAAGCTGTTTTGTTTTTCCTCACCTGTGTCTTGTACTGCTAAGAGTAGTTGGTATGATCAAAGATGTAGCCTTTCATTTCACATGTCTGGGCCTCACTGCTATTTAGACCCAAAAGCCTGTGTGTCTGGACAGCTCAAGTGGCTTTGCAGCCTACTGCTGCAATGACAGGGGCCTCAGAGGCTCTGTCCTGGTTGCTGTGTGAATCAGGCCCTGTTCTACACGGCTAGATTTCGTGGGCCTGTTGAGATCTCAGCCAGACACCAAATTCCAACTTGGGGATGTCTTGTCTCAGACACGAGAATACTCCTGTTTGCCTCCCCATGGTACCTCCTTTGTGACCAGAAGTTTGCTGGTGATGTGGGGACACACTGGGCCCGAGGAACGTTATTTGCTCTGGGACAGAGGCCCTCTCCAATATGTCCTAGACTCAGGGCCGGCCTGGTGGCGCACTGCTACAGTGCGCCGCTTGAGAAGCGTGGCAGCGCTCCTGCCGAGGGTTCGGATCCCACATACAGACCGGCCGCTCACTGGNATATGTCCTAGACTCAGCCTCTCTTCCTGGGGCAGGACAGGACCATCTCTGTTCCCAAACCATTCCTCCCACTGTGGCTTCAGTTAGCTGGCCACATGTGGTTCAGTTACTGTGGGAGACAAGGTTACACAGTCACATCAAGCTTTGGCTTTACTGAGGCCATCAGTCTGGATGGACCTACATTTCCTCAGTCACTCACTACATTTTTAATAACTTTTATTGTCTCTCTCTATATTTTTTTAGGTTTGAAAAAAAAACTGGGGGCCGGCCCGGTGGCGCACTGCTACAGTGCGCCACTTGGGAGGTGCGGCGGTGCTCCCGCCGAGGGTTCGGATCCCACATACAGACTGGCCGCTCACTGGCTGAGCGAGGTGCGGGAGCAGCGCCGAGGGTTGCGATCCCGTTGCCGGTCCCGGTCCAGTACGGGCGCAACACTGAGGGTTGCTATCCGTTGCCAGTCACGAAAAAAAAAAAAGAAAAAAAACTGTTAAAGCAAAAAATAAAAATAAATCACCTATACCATG